AAAATATTTAACAGTACTCAGACGTTCAAAAATGTCTCTTGTCTTACAATTTCAATTAATATTAAAAATTGGCTCAATTATATGTGGTTACANTATGTTGTGATATCCTGACATACGGCATACTACAGTCTGGTAGATGGCACAAACATTTCAAAGGAACACACTTCTTCTGTCTAGAGCAGTGCTGTCCAACATTCTCNGACTATACAGTGTAATAACCCAAATGACCATAATATGAACCTCTGATGTCATGAAAACCCTGTATCTCAGCCACATTTCAAAACTCAACACCAGTGTAGGTTATAGAATAATACTGAAGCCATAAAATGTAGCACAACAGTACTGAAAGGACAAACCAACAAAGAAGTTTTGTCATACTGAAACTATTCTTGTGTGGTCACATATTGATCTGTTTGAAATTAGTGGATTTATTTGATTATTTACCCCACAAAAAATGACTGGCCACAAGCAAATACTATTGTAAATACATCAGATTTTGAAAATAAAAGACATTAATATGTAAAATCAGATGTTTACTGGCACTTACTGAGGTGTAAGATTAGGTTCATTTTCGGGAAATTTGCAATAATGGGGCAACACAAGTGAAACATAACAAATCAACCAAGTAAACCTCTGGAATATTAACATATGTCAATTTCCTACACCCTTCTGATGCAGAACCTCACATCTAATACTAATAATGAGGTTAAAACATCAAGATTTAATATTAAGAAAATGCAACTAATTTGTATTATACTCATACATGCACTATATGAATGACACCGCCAGTGTCAATCAAATGATGACCAATAAATTGGAAAGAATTCAGAAGAAAACATTCATGTCCTAAATGAGGCTCTCTTGTGGCACCTAACTGAAGGAAACCATGAAAAACATCATGCAGTATAGTTGCTATCCTGGTCGAGATTCAAACCTAACTCTTCTCCAATAAAAGTATAGGGTGTTACTGCTACCCTTTGGCCTTGATGTTCATTTATTGCTGATGACATCTTGTAGCACCACAAAATTTACATTTTCTTCATAACATCAAATATGTAATCTCACAGATTTGTAGAAAAACCATTCCTACAAAAGTGGGTGAACACCAACAACTACTTTGGCAATCATCTGTATTTACCCTAGACTGCTGTATCACACAGCCACTTTCATATTGTAATATTTATTAACCACTGAATGAATAATGAAGCGTACTTAATCACATTATGTTTATCTCAATCAAAAACGGTCAGTTCCATTACACTCCATTTCAAAATGTAGTCACAAGGCAGTTCACACTACCCAAAATCATATTATTTTCATTATTGAGGGGGGAATGATTTCCTACCAGAAACCAATTCTCTAGCATTACTATCATCCGGAAATACAAAATGTAAAGGCGATATTTCCTCTCAATAATCAAAACGAATTATATTTGAGTGGGTTGGAGGAGGAGGCTGAAATTTTAATTGCATCTGACTTCATGTGTACTATGCAAAACTGCCATGCTGTATGTTCATTTCACATCAGTGGCATAAGCTTTCACGTGAAATTCTGCCAGCATATTCTGGAGCCAAAGGGGTGTCATGGCTAAAGTGTGGGAAATATCAATCTGGTGTAGGAATAGGCACAGTACAATGATACTAAATGCACACATACACTGTCCTGAATGCATTTCTTCAACGCTAGTAACATTACTCTAACTTCATCTATGGCTGCCTCTTCTATAGAAATGAGACTTAAAAATCTGTTACTGCTGGATAATGATCCCAAATTAAATATGGCTGGAAACCCCATAATACTGGGAGAATCAAATTATGCTTCACAAAATATTATATGTCTGCTTTTAAAATATGATGAAACAAGGAACAAACCAGTCAAAGTGGAGATAGACAGAAATACTGAGTTATGAACTTATTGATGGAACTCCCAATTACTGTACTTACTTGCAGAGAAGTATATGAAGATAACATAACGCCTCATTCCAGCATTACTTAAAAGCGTATTACAATTACAAAGATATACGTAGGTAAGTCAATAAGTTACAAATGGATATAGAACTTAAACAAACAAGAGCAGTGACTTGAAAAATGCTTTTATTTCTCAACATAATCTCCCTGTACATTGAGGCACTTGTCCCATCGTTTCACAAGTTCCTGAAAACCAGCAGCACAAAACTATTTGAGCTTCTGTCAGAACCAGGCGTGTTCAAACGGCATGGCCTACCTCATAATGAATGACAAGTTGCTTGCTTCCGTTGAATGGTCTTACGAAGTTTCCTGAGGATGTTACAGTAGGAGTCTGCATTTATGGTTTGTCCTTGAGGCTAGAATGCGGTGAGCAGTATGCCTTTCTGATCCCATACGACTGTGAGCATCACTTTCCTAGAGGATGGAGTCACCTTAAACTTCTTTTGGCAGGCGACGCAGGATGTTTCCACTGCATTGACGCACACTTTGC